GTTTTCTTGCAGCAGGGAGGCTCGCGGGAAAAGAAGCTGCTTACTTTTTCCAAGAATCCAAACACGCCGTTAATCGTATCGCCGAGAAATCTCCGACCACCGGTAAAAAGCTTCCATCTTCTCCGGCGGATCCGCCGGAGATTCAACCGGACGTTCTACCGGAGATTCTACGCCATTCTCTTCCTTCTAAAATCTATGGTCGACCTCCTGATCCTTCGTCTCTCTCCCAGTTCTCCAAATGGGCTCTTGAATCCGATCCGAACGCACCCGTTTCTATTTCCCCTGACGTATTGAATCCTCTCAGAGGTTATGTGTCTCTGCCTCAGGTCACGTTCGGTCGCAGAAGGTATAAACTTGATGGGTATTTCACAAATTTTGGTTTTTGATGTCGATTTGTTGAAAACTTGGGGTCGATTTGATTGCAGATGGGATATTCCGGAATCTGAGAATTCGGTTTTAGCTTCAACAGCTAATGAATTGAGGAGAGACAAAGACGGGATTCCTGTAAATCCTGAAAAATTGAAAGCTGCTGGTGAAGGGCTTCAACATAGTATGTTCACTTCTCTTCTTCTTTGGTTACCTGGAAATCAATCTTTTTGAAATTGGATTCATGGACATTGGAGAGTTATTGGTCTTGATTTGGAAAATTTGCTAGAGATAAGAGGAATTGCAATATTGTATGTTCTGTTCATACTTCTTAGCTTTTGCGTCCAAAGAAACATTGGTATTATAGTTAATGCTTTCCCAAGCTTGTTTCTACGCTGTTTAGAACTGTGATGGTAGTAATTTTGATGAAGTTTCAGCTTTAGAGAACCACTTTTTATTTTATTTGTTATGAAAATCAAAATGATCTAAGCAATTCACTTTCAGCAATTCTTGGGAATTTTGGTTATAGTTTAAGTATTCTGAAGCATCTTTCTGTGCTGGTAGTTTTGATGATGTGTTTGCTTATAGCTACAAAATGGGCTTTGAGGTGTATACAAAAGCAGAAACTGCCACCAAGAATAAAACAAGATGAGACTGTCTTCTATACTTGCTTGTGTAGGAACAGAGCAGAGCTTTTTGTCTGATCTCGTAAACCTTTGCCTAATCTCGAGCCCTTTGATTTTCTGGTTTCTGCAGTTGGAAAAGCATTTGCAGTTGCTACTGTTATTATCTTTGGCTCAGCCACTTTGGTTTTTGGAACGGCAGCTTCGAAACTTGACGTGCGTAATGTAAGATTGGAGATGTTTCTCTATGTTCTTACTTAAATCTACGAGATTCGCACTCGTAGGCTCGCTTGACTGATCTTGAATGTCATCTTTTCATTTTCTGTCTGGTAGGCCGATGATATAAGAACGAAAGGCAAAGATCTTTTTCAGCCAAAACTGGAGTCAATGAAGGAACAAGTAGAGCCCCTAAGAACTTGGGTAATGTTAAACAAAAGTTTCTTGCATCTTAACAACAGAATTGGGTCATAATCATGAATCCTAACCCGAAAAAAAAAAAACTAAAAATTTCAGGCGGGTAACATGTCGAAGAAGTGGCATTTTGAGAATAACGATGGTACTATCAAGGAGAAACCAATCTTGAAGGAGCTTTCGAAAATTCTGGGACCCAAATCTTGAAAAGACTGAAACTTTTGATAAGTGTGTTATATGATATATAGATAGAGAAAAGCCAAAACAGGAATATATCTATATGTATGTATGTAAGATTAAATAAGATCATAGGTGTAAAACTGTAGAAGTTTCAATGTTGCTATGAAAACAATGTATGAGTGATTAAGTGTTTGTATCAATAAAGTTTTAATGAGTTTCAAAATATCTCCTGTATATTGGATTCGGTTATAATATACACAATATGAAGTTATGGTTAAAATTGTAAACGTAATAATAAGTCAGGGGGTGTTCTGTAATTATTTGCTCCGATGTGTAAATTTCAGATTAAATGTAATTAGG